AGGGGTCCCCAGCATCTAGCAAATAGAAAAGTACGAAATATGATGTTAATAATATGGGGTGTACGATAGACTTACTTCCACGTGGTGCACCCTCGGCAACGTATTTTCATACTTCAAAAAATCTATAAGCCGTTAGTTGACTTCACACTTCAAACTACCATGACCCCACTCTATGTCATACTCCACCAATCACACAGTACTCATCTTACCTTTTCTCTGCCCTTGTGTCTCTTTGACATCTGTGAATCACTCTTCTGTTTCCCCTCTCGAATTTTTCTCACTTTGATGTTCCTCCTCTCTGTGATGTCCGAAGTCAGCTAAAGGGCTAATGACAACTACCATAACGCCTGGCATTTGAAATAAATAAATATTCTATTCTGAAGACGATTTATGGAGGGTTCAAAATGAAGCCTGTAAACATTCACTTCTAAAGTTTACTAAATGTAACCTCTTTGATTGTTCCTTCGCCAAAGAGCACATGATAGGAGACATCAGACGATAAAAATGTGAATTATATGATATTTTCGCTCTAGATGCGTTAACCGCATCTTCTATGCACCCATTTGGTGCAGACGAAGGGCGTGTCCAAATAATGCTTAATGTTAATATACGTGCCCACTTTGACATGGCCTGGAACGTGTTACTGTTCGTGTTAGGCATCAATTGGCGTCATGAGTGCTTTTGGAATGAACCTCCAAAATAATGGCCACTTCTAAAGAGTGTACCAAATCAGTGGGGTTTTATCGATTAGGATTATTTGATAAGAATATACAGAGGTTCTGATTGGAATATGCATTTGGCGAGAAGAGTGATTCTTCATCGTTTTGACTATCAACGGATTTGTTGAAAAGTGCCCCGGCCTTTTTCCCTTTAATTTCCCGATTGCCAAGGACGTGAGTATGCAAGCTAAAATTCTTGGAAATGGTTGTGTTCGTACAAAAAAACAATCAAAAAACGGTGTTAGTTTACAATTAGAAATGAAATATATCATTAATAAATATTTTGTACAGTTTTGAAAGATCACTGTTTACCAGATAATAACGAGGTAACTATTTCAGACCTTGCAAAGGCAAGAATATTTAAACCATCACTCAAAGAAATTACTTTCTCCTCAAAAATAACCAGAGAAATAATTCCTTGTGAAACTTTTGAGGAAAAGTGAATCAATTTCTGATGATATGAACAAAATAACTGCACATGTGGCCAAATTTCGTGCATATGGCTCTCTTCTATTATGAGTTTAGAGGTACACTTTAGTGAATGGCAGCCTCTTCACCTGAACCAAAATTGTTGATATACACTCCATAACCACTACTACTTAGGCTATTTCTAAATATTGTAAAAAACGAAACCATAAATTAGAAAAGGCGAGAGAGAGAGAGAGTACAGCTCATCAAGAGTTGGATGATGAAAAATGAGTGGGTAGAGGAGTTGCAGAGATCGACATTAAGTGATAGCAATGGTCCTTGTGTCTTTTAGAGCATTGGCATTCCCCTCCTTATTGGCTAACGGAGTTGAGATTTCGGCTTAGGGGATACCAGAAGATAAAGCTCTCATTGTTTGCGAGGGACATTGACATGAGTCTGCGTGAAGAAGTGGCTCAAATGAACGAAAAATTTTAATGAATTAAATCGCATCTTTAATTTTGGCAAATTCCATGTTTGCAATTTATGGGGTATGGGATGGACTTATCTCCACGTGGTGCGTATTTAATGAATGGGGTATGGGATGGACTTATCTCCACGTGGTGCGCCCTGGGCAACGTATGCTCATATGGCAAAAAAGTCTATTAACAGGCAGTTGACTTCTGACTTTAAACTACCATGACTCCACTGTATGTCGTATTTGAAAACTTTCATATTACTCACCTCACCTTTTTTCTACCCTTTTGTCTGTCACTATTACGTCTTTAAAGCAATCTACTGTCCTCCCCCCTCTCGACATTTTTCATATTGATTTCCTATCCTCTCTGTGAAGCCTGAAGTCAACTAAGGGGCTAATGTTAACTATCATGTTAATATTTAATACCTTTATTTTTTATAATATACTATCTTTAAAAGCTGGAGCTTACAAATGAAATAAAATCTGTACTATTGGCTCAATGTGCAATTATGAAGACCTCTAATATATATTTAAATATTCCAAACGGATACCTCTTTTTGGGACATTCAAATGAAAGCCGTGACACTCAAGACCCAAGGGTGGAATCATTGACAGCATCTGTATTTTAAATATTATATGACTTTCACTACTCATACTTGTTTGCAAATGTTGCAAAATAATTAAATCGCATGCTTTTAATTGTTCGAAGATAAAAATAAATAATTAATGCCGTTGGCCTGAAGGAATCTCATTTGTTTATTTTTAACTATTCAATAAATTGTTGGCTAAAAGATTCACATATTCAGTAAATTGCTTAAAAAACAAATTTCCAAGTCTAAAGAGCTAAATTAATAGCAAATTGATATAATCTATTAGAATTTATATATTTGTTATAATTCTTGGAATGTATTGTACTAGCTTTCGCCAGAGGAGGCGCGTTAGACGTGTGTATCTACTGTAGTTAGGTCTGTTTTTTCTCTTGTCCTTAAAGTTAATCGTCAGTTCGTACAAGTATTAGGAAGTATAAGGCCAAAATTAATATATTATTCGGTATATCGCATTCAGAATTGCTGAGTTTTGTTGCTACTGAACGTTTGTTTTATATTTGTCTTTATCCACATATTTTATGGCCTCATTTACCTTACTCATTGACTGTATGTTTGTCATTTACATCAAATTTTCTTTCATGATTCAATGTGTTAGAGATCATAATTTTTGAATATGAGCTTGGTAATAATGTCTTAAATTTAGTGCTGTCAACCTAAATGATTAATGTATGTCTTTAGAAATGAATTCCGGATCCTTTGCTCAGTCTGTGAGTCTTTAATTCGTAGAAAATATTGTTCACATTGTTCTGTTATTAACTATTGCTTTTTGCAAGGTTGAAGTTGATGTGGTACCAAATACACCTGAAAGATCATGTTCCAATGATGTTGACGGTCTAACTGTCGATTCCGCAATTGACTTGAAAAAAATAAAACAATTTGACAAACAACTTCACGTAAGTCTTATTTGAATAATTTTTCCACCTTTCATCAAAGCGCTGTTGGCCGTTTTCTTCATAATTGTTTAAGAATCCATATTTGGTGTCCATGCTACCTATGTATGCCCATGATTTGAAACCAACAATTACTAATTTTGGATCATTTGCGTAATTTGAGCTATTTATAAATCCGACTTTATGAAAACTTAATCCTTTATAGGGTATGTTTCATTTAAATACTTTGAAAGAAGTTAATTTCTTCTTGGAGAGTAGTTATTTTCTTGTTGGAGAGAGTGCTTTCTTGTGGATTTCATTTAAATAGTATAGCGCGCATTCCTTTATCCCTTACGAAATGGCTAACAACGGTTCTCTACGGACTACTTGGTTCTCAATTTAATCTTTTCTGTGATAGAGAAATTGATTTTGTTTGAAGAAATAATCATCGAGCTCCATCTTTACAATTGAATTTATTGTTCTTGTTGTTGTAGACGTAGTTGTACTTCATTCGAATATTGTTATAATTTTTGTCTAGGATTCTCCTAATGTTTTGAAAGTATTCTTTAAATGCATTTATGAAATTTAGAGTTTCATTTTACGGTTTAATAGTGACAATTTCAACAATCATGCAATCTAACTTTGTGAAAATGAGACTGTGGAATATCAATTAAGTAGATGAAAACATCACTTGAATATTCTTGACCACAGGGTTAGTAAAATCGATTGAAATAATTGTTAAATGAAGCCAGTACGGAATTGCAAGTCTCCCCCACCTCCTCTCGCCGTTTGCGTTCATGAATGCGTTCGGGCCTGCGCGTATGCAAAATGCGTCACTGAGTAAATTTGAAACGTCAATTTTTGTTATGCGGGTCCGTACATTCACCGTATTGTTCAACCGTTCATTCCCCTCCTCCCCACCCCATTTCAGTCGCTAAAATCTTTTATGGAACGGTCGTTAGAGGGGGTGGTGCATCGAGGAAGTATATTATAACAGTGGCCAACCTCTCCCACCATATTTCAGTAACTAAAATGTTTTATCCTGCAATGCATACGGAAGTTGTGGATCGAGTAGAATGGTTTGCATATATCATCTGCTTCAATTTAGTTGAAAGTGTCAAATTGAAAGATTCGCCAATAGTAGAAACACACTTTCGCTTGTCTTTAATTTATTCTCCTGAAATGCTTCGAATGTGCATGTCATTGAGAACCTTGGTAAGGAGTCAAGTTGACAGAATGGCAGTACCTTTATTCTTTAGGAGATGAGTAGTACACTCTAGAGTGCGTGTTTGGTTCCAATGTGAACCCATTCATTGCTTGTATTTTCCTATTTTGTTTCGTTGAATCAACTGTAGCCCAGGAAGTATATTCTGACAGTGGAAATGAATGTCCTAGCAGTACTGGAACTTAAAGTAGACATATTTTAGAGAATATTAGAATTCTGGGTAGAGATGAAGGAGGTGGAACGGAGACTGAGTAATTGCTCTTATTTATTGCAGAACAAGTGCTTCCGGATTTTGTCATATTTTAGGCTTCTAATTTGCATGGAAGATAATTTTTCTGTAGATATTGGTCTAGTTCTTGTAGAAGTCCTTCGAAGATAGCCTAGGGTTGCTGTTGAAATGACGTGCTGTCGGATGGTTATGCATAAATAGCGAAGGAATAAAGTCTAGTGTGAAAAGGGATGAAGTGGAAGAAGGAGTGGGAGTTGTCTTGGGAGTAGACAATGAAGTGGAATGAATTGTCCTATTGAAATGACGTATTTTCTATCCAGATTTCAGACAGGATTGAAGAAACTAATGAGGAGGAAGTGAAAAACACCTTTCCAAATATTTTCACTGGTCTAATTGCATCGCAGAGTCCCGTAGAGTTACCCGAACTATCTACTGATCTCAATAGGTAAGGAATTATTTTCTTAATTTGCGAAATGGTAGTATTGGTTGATTCTGTGAAAATCCTACTACTGTCTTTGTAGGGTGGATTTTGTGCGTTGGTCTTCTTAGTCAAAGTAGTCAGTGTTCAAACTTGTTAAGGCATGGAGAGCGCTTTACGTTTCCATTGATTTTAATGTCGAAATCGGAAATCCCCTTATGCATTCCCCCCCCCCCCCCCCACCTCTTGTATACAAATATCAGTTGAAATTAGTATTTTTCATTCGAGCTGGGCTGTGTTTGCTGTGCTTGAGTTTATAAATTTTATTGTGTTCTAATGGACAATGCAAAGTATCTTCCTATTTTTTGTTGATTAACATCACTGAAGGGATGTTAATGAATGTTTCTTGTCCATCGTGATATTGTTTTATAGAAGGACGTTCTCACGGAGGGGTCATTATATCGATGATGTCCTATGAGTAGTGCGATTGAAGTAGTCTATCTTTAAGTTAAGTGATAACACTCTATATATTTAATTGGGCAGCAGAATTGATGTTTTCTTTGACTGCAGATTATCATCACCATTTTGACCAGTGCATATCAACGTTGTTACTTGAACACAATGAACACGCAACTTTCCTTAATTTAGGCATAAATTATCCTCCAGATGCAGCATTCAGCTTTCCGCTTACTTAAGCGAGTATTCCATGGCGATGATTTGGTTCACCACAAGAGTATTCTAGTCAATATCATCCATACCATGTGGTCAAATTTTGCAATTTGAGTTTTTCAAGACAGTGATAAGCTGTGAGCATTGAGTAAAATCTGAACAACTCACAAACTTTTCCACTTTTTGCTCTTCCTCATTATCGGTTTCTTCTCAATTAGTGCCAATTTAGTCATAACTTTGAGCACCTATGTAGAATCTTGTAGTCTGTAATTCGGTGATTGATGCGTCTTTTTCCTTTTCTCGTGGTAGCATTTCATAGATCCCTCACTCTAATGTTAATGATCTCGTCTCATTTGTTTTTTCTTTTTGGGTTATTCCAACTGCGACAAAATGCGTAGTAGCATTCATAATGAAATCCCTCTTCTTCCCCCCCCCCTCCCCCCTCCTTCCTACACCACGTGTGACTCATGTTCTGTCATGTCTGCTTCCGATTAATCTAATTATTCTTTTGTCATAGTGACGAGCAGAAGGTGGTTGAACAACTTGCCCAAATTGGTGAAAAGATCAATGCGCTTTTTGGCTCGGAGATTGAAAGTATGCTGGGTCAATTCCATTCGACTATTTCACCCTTTGGAATTCTTTCTAAAATCTTCTCAGGGTGAGTTCACTATTGAAGTTCTATTTATTTCCTGCTATTCATCTAGGCTTATCAGAATATACCTACGTCTGTTCTGTTAAGGCTATTTAAAGATAAAGAATATTCGTGGGGCAAAATTTTTGCTTTCATCCACTTTGGAGTCAAGCTCTTCTTAAAATCTAACGGCAATATCATTCCCTCCATGCTGAAAGATCTGTGTGTTGAAATAGTGGAAGTGATAGGAATTCAGCTTGCCCAGGGAGCCTTCAAGTGGATAGCAAATCGTGGCGGATGGGTGAGTCTTTCGATTTATTTAGCAGGTGATATTTTGTAATCTCCTTCTAAAGTGTTTCTGAGTAATGGAATCTGATGGCTCAATTTCTAAACCCCACTGAAAGGTGGGCATTTCCAGAATGAATCGAAGTTCCATAATCTCCGTTTATGAATAGGTAATTGATATTTTGTAAGTGGACCGGTTTGACCGGTTGATCGATTTTCATGGGTTGTGCCATGGCATGACATTCAGATTGATTGGCATTCCTTTTAGAACCAGGAGTCAGTGTTTGTGACAGAATATAATATACTTACCAATATAATTTATGCATTATATAATTATTTTTTCCGTTTTGCACAAACATTTAGGCTTTTAAAGGCTTGTTTTATCTTTCTTTTTAGCAAAGGATCGTGTCCTCCAACAGTTTAATTCCGTTCATCGCAAATTCTTTGCCATTGTCCATAATTGGATGCGTGGCCATCGCCTTTTTAATCAAAAGAGTTTATCGTATGTGGAGATTATCCCGCTGAGGCTATTTCTTCCTCCCAAAAGCGCCAAACCGAACCGAGTGCATCAATTTTTAACTCAATCTTTTGTAGCAAGCCTTTACCACATTTCCGAGCTTTTATGATTTAAGATTTTGTCTAGGAATTGTTACACCCCCTACATAATGAACAGATTGAAGGTGGTATTCTTCCATTTGGCGTGTTTTCTACATTAAACTTGCCTATGCAAAATGACTTCATCTCGGTAGATTCGTGTCGGTTCAGGCAGATTAGAATACGCGGAGATGTGGGGATGGATGAAACTAGGCTCTAGAGAGGAAGAGATAGTGAGCTAGAATAGTCATATGTTGAAATCAGCAAGATAGAAGAAGTCAATCCCTTGATGCTATCGCAAGTTCACGTAGGTGAAACAGTAAGAGCATCTTGTAATATTGAGATTCACTGTAGAATTTCCACCATTGATTGGAATGGATTTGGAGGTCATTTATGAAATTGCACACTGGAAGCTTGTGACGACGCCTTCTCCATAGCGCTGGAAGTGGACGCATCTTAGAAGTTCACTCCCTCAGTGCCATGACAATTGAAGAGCTGAGCCAATAGGTTACTGTTATGGAAATCTCCCCCATTTCTAATGCTCTAAATCAAGGTTCAATTGCTGATCCACATCTCATAACTTTTATTTAAGCCTGTTTTAAAAATGATCGCACGCTTGACCATAATGTAGATAAGTGCAGTTCATCAAAAGTTTGGTCGTGAAATATTGATGGGTAATGGAGTTACGGAAATCGGCCATTTTTCCCTAAACGGCTTCCTCGTCTAGAGCAGTGGGTGGTTATAATGGCCTTTTATCCTTCGATTCGTTGGTGGGACTTTCCCTATGGATTGCCGGGGTTGCTATCTTAGCCCGGGCAACACCAGAACACAAAAGTTATAAGGACAGATTCCCAGTGGTTTAACTATGAGATAATATAAAAATGCCTCATTCTATGAGCGTATGTGAAGGTAAATTTGGTCGGCTTTGCTTAAATTTGATGTCTTTGAGTGATCGCTCAAGTTTCCCTTTTAGAAAAATAATGATACAAGAAGACCAGTTGTTGAGGTCTGGACAATAAATTGTCATATTTTCTTTGAAAAAAACATAAGCAATAAACTGCACTTATATTCGGTTCAAATGTAAAACTTAAACGCAATAGTCCACTGGAAAGTTTAAAAATAGTATTTGCGAGGTAATGACCACAGTAGTCTGATCATGTCATAAGTCATCACTGGAACGTATATCTTTTTATGTTCGTCACAAGGGGTGTACGATAGACTTACCCCCACGTGGTGCACCCTGGGCAACATACTCATAGGGCAAAAAAGTCTATTAACTAGCAATTGACTTCAAACTACCATGACCCCACTGTATGTCATATTTCACCACTTCCACAGTACTTGTCTTACCTTTTTCTCTACCTTTGTGTCAGCATATCTCTTACATCCTAGAACCACTTTTCTGTTCCTCCCCTCTCGACTTTTTTCAATTTGATGTTCCTTCCCCTCTGTGAAGCCTGAAGTCAACTAAAGGGCTAATGATAACCAAAACGCCTACCATCTGATATAAATAAATGTCAAAAAATTTACCATTCGCACAATTACCCAAACGGTCAGACGATGACACGTTTTGGCGTCTAAACGCCCAGGCGAATGACGTAAATAGATTAGCGTTATTTGGGCCCTAGATCAATCTAAGCTGACGTCAATTATTCGCACCTTCACTCCGATGCCTTACTCACCTCGAGTGTTGATGACTTAGGAGCAGTAAAGACGTATTAAACGCGAGAGCATCAGCCATTTTTCGTAACAATACCTATTAATGGGTCTATGGGTGGAAAGTTTTGTTCACATTGTGTCCTCCCAAATAACATCGTTTTCACTATTTAATGACACAATCTACAAGGCATAGGATTTGTCAAGATTTATTGTCATTGGGTTACTGGACAAAAAAAAACAAAGAAAATATACTCACCTTTTCTACCAAAGAAAAACGGGCCAGCACTGAGTCAATGAGGACCCTGCCCCCCACCCCCACTCCCAAGTGAACCACTTTACAGGAAAGAAGCTTTCCAACTCCTTGCATTCTATTACTTTTGTAATCAACTATTCGCCCCTTCCTCTTCTTGATGCCCATTAGGTATTTCCTTTCTGCCTTTTATGGTCTGTAAAATATCACGACAATAAATACACACTGCTTAAATATTTAAGTAAATTGTTATTTACAAGTCAAGTAAACTTAAAGAAGAATTTGTCCACCTCTGGCATAGTAATACATATTATCTGTACAGAGAAAAAATAAAGTACTCTAAAATTCAGCTTCAAAGAGAGTTATTCAACATGGGGGAAGTTGAAAATCTGTTGACGACACCCGACTGAATGACTGCGATGGACCCCATTGTATGACCTTGAATTCACTCCGAAATGGTAAACGAAAACACGAGAAGGTTGTCTTCAAACGCCCCACTATCTGATTAATTAATTCCACCGTAGACACCCCAGCATTGTGCAGTTTCTGGCATACCCAGTTAATATATTCCTGCCTGTAGGCACAAAACAACACAAACTTCTATGTTAGGGAAAAAATTGGAGCACATACTACACGTTACTCACAAAGTACTTATAGGCAAAACTATATATATATATATATATCTATATATATATATGAAATTAATAAAATTGATGTAAACAGAACGGATACATTAGAGAGCTGTAGGGATAACCATCATTGCAGTGGAGGACGCAACAGTATCCATCAGCAACTCTCCCGTTGATAACATAACAACGCGGAATCAATCTGTGTAGGACGAAACCTCGACGTTTGTAGAACTTCAGGGCAGTGTGATTTGTACATTCTGTGTGGAGGTAGACTGCTCGACAGGGAAATTGTGGCCTGTATTGGTGGCGCAAGCCCTGCACGAACTCTATTTGATGGGCACTTAAGGATTGGTCCAGAAAAATCTATAAGGGGTAGACAGACTACTTAATAGTATTTAAGTAGGTACGAGGGGGTAAAGTGATATCTAAACGTACAGATTCATGGTCGCCATAACACGTTGGACGCTGGATGTGATTGGTGGGGTTAATTAATGCAAGGGACCCTCTCTGCCCTCTTGCATGGTCAATAACTATTGATAACAAGAGAGAGCCTAAAGTGAAGAGAGAAGAATAAATTAGATGGCACAAAAGACTCAGAAGTCAGCAGGGCAGAATGGATGATACAAGTTAATTTATTGACTAGATTTCCAATTACTACAAATAAGGAGTGTAAGTAATAACTTTACTAACTTGACGAAAAAGAAGAAGTGTTCCGCTCTACCCGATACTTCAAACATACAAAGTTCTTATCAAATCTTGCTATCTGAACGTTGAAATATTTATTTATTTCAAAGGGCAGGCGTTTCGATAGTTACCATTAGCCCTTAAGCTAACTTCGGGCTTCACAGAGAGGAGGAGGAACATCAAAGTGACAAAAAGTCGAGAGGGGAGCAGAAAAATGATTCACTGAGGTAAAAGGGACAAACAAACACAAAGGCGAAGGAAAGGTAAGATGAGTACTGGGGAAGTGGTGGAATATGGCATACAGTGGGGTCATGGTAATTTGAAGTTAGAAGTCAACTGCCGGTACGAGTGTACGTTGCCCAGGGTGTACCACCACGTGGAAGTAAGTCTATCGCACGCGGTTGAAATATACGATCACGGAAATGAAAATGAATGAAAATTAAAATTTTTAATAGCCTTTCAACTCCAATTACCCGAAAATAGTGTATTTAACAAAGCATAAAGCCACATCAAATACATTATGGACTAGAGAACAAGATCAGAAGAGGAAATTTTTACCATTTAGTAAAGAAATCCTTAAATTCCCCCCTCCCCCTCCCCCTTTCCTTCCAATGAAATATTAAACGTTTCACATTTCCGAGTTCAACTCGCTTCACGGTGAATGCACAACTCTCTCACTATGAGCCGATCTTAACCAGCACCAACAAGCAGAAAAAGGTTGCTTAGATGGCAAGACTCATTTTAATCGACACAATCAATAAACTTTATGCATGTTAGAGAATAAAGTTCAAAAGTTGAAGATTAGAACACCTGTTCAAGAAGCATTGAGGCATATCCAACAAACGAAAAGTAAGCACCCAAAACAAGCCAAAATTAGAATAAAGCTGAGGACCCAATTTTATGTACCCCCTTTATCCAGTTCTCCTCACTCATCATTGAATTGTGCACCCTGTTACTGCCTTCCGATGCTTATTGCTAGTTAGCAGTAAGCTGTGCCTGATGAAGAAGATGACGATAAGAAAAACTCAGCAATAACGATTAGGATATAGAGTTTAGCTAACAATGTCAAGTTTAATAGAAAGAACAAAACTAGAACTACTAACTTGAGAAAACGCCAACCATATTGTAAATTGAGGCACATGCTCACAAGCAACACTACTTATTGGGAATACAGGAGCAAATAAGAATAGGAAAATTGAGAAAAAAGCTTTATTCTTATTTAAAAAAAGACAAGCAAGTTGTCCACTTGGAAAAGTCATTACCCTCTCGATGGACATTAGAGGAAAGATGGTTGTAAACTTAAACAAAGCATAATGATATAAAAAATTAGCCAAAAACTTCGCCTTTTGAAATCAATAAAGAAGTACAATCTATTTAAGCTCCCTCAACAACAACGTAGTATTCAAGAGATCTGGGCATGGGATTATTCCCCAACGCATGTGAGGGGACAACACATTCCAAGTAACCATTGACATTGCATTTCTTACTTTGGGCTTCAGACCCTCAGGCTAATAAGGTTTTCATACCCAGTCATAAAATTAGGACGCAAAGACTAATATAATTATATATATATATATATATATATATATAACTCTGTTTCTAAATTCGGTCCGTTGGAAGACAGATTTTGCGATTAGTACCATAATATAACGAAAATCTCGATGAGCAGTAGAGGGAGAGTGAATAGTTTGGCGTTTCATAAATTTTGAGCGAATAATCGCATGAAGATTGGAAACAGAAGAAACCACTCCGTTTCTAAGACAATATTTATTATTATTATTATTATGCCTAGATAGACTTACTTCTTCCATATATATATATATATATATATATATATATAGAAAAAAACTGTCAGATCATACACTTTCGAATTATATAAAGCACTGCAATGCAACAATCTAGAAGTTCATTTTAATACTTATTTAAAAGATAGATTCAAACCCTTATAAAAAGCATAAATGAGCTTATGAAATAATGTATGGAATTACTAATTTATTCATTTGCTGCTGTCAAATAGAGTAAGCTTTGATTTGTGAGAAATGGAGAAATTAAGTAAATTACATCTGCTACTGTGAGGTACAATAATCTGAGAATGTCTCAAAAGTTTGGAATATAATCGATGCCACTCAAATACTTTGAAATGTATTGTATTATCTTAACTGGAAAAGGAAAAGAAATTCACTGCATGTGTGCCGTTGGGCATCGATACCGTAACCTCACATTTGGGCGGATATGCGCGAAGGTCATCATGTCATTAACAAATAAGGACAGTCAAGGATGCGAAATACTTGCAGCCAAGACACTTTGAGATGTTAATAATTATCATGAACGAAAATACCACAAAATTAGTTAACAAGGATGCTCTGTTCCAGCCTTTGACAATTAGAGTAATCATGCTAGGATAACGAGATAAAAAAAACACGAATAATATGTTAAGTTCAATGCAATTGCGAGATTTTAAAGCTTTTCTTCCAATACGATTGGTTAAATAGCTGGAAATGAGTAAAAACAGAACAGCACAATTTAAATAATAGAGAGGATGTTATTGATATCATGTTTAAAAACACAGTGACTGACTGAAATAAAATGAAAAGCATGAGAATAACAGCCTGGTGAATACAGCAAATGTCCTTACGAGCATGTTGCTAAATTAGACGAATTGGGGAGATGAGAAGAGCCTCAATTGAGGGCAGTGAGGGATTAAATCGCCCTTCTCAAAAAGTATACTAAATGATAACGTAACATGGCCTGATGGACCGATAAGAAATGGTTAGACAAAGTTATGTTAATTAAGAATTTAGCTTTTAAATTTACAATTAGCAAGAATTGAGATTAAAATTCCAATCCCGATTTTTATTAGGCTTCCAATTTATGCCTAAGTTCATTTTCCTAATCCGAGATTTTTTAGTTCCGTTTTAAAATATTATTACATACATTTAGAAGTAAAATTAAAATCTCGAATCAACTGATGGAAAAAGGGGTAAGATGAAAGCAATAATAATATCAAAACGTTTTAGCGCAAAGACACAATGAGTAAAATTTCATTCAAGATAACAAAATGTTTACCAATGCCATATTCTCTATATTGCCTAGTTACTGCCAGACTGAGTATGTACATAACTACAGATTCCGAAGCGATTCGAGGATGAATAATAGACCTATCCTAAAATTCAGAAAAAGAAAAATTGAATCGCGTTAATATGACAATAAAAAAATAAAGACCATTTCACTTACACTCATCTTACAATTGTTGATAGACCGATATTCGGTAACAACCATGCCGACAATATTATCGACGATATCATATTTTTCTTTGAGATACTCAAAATCGGATTGACTTAAACATGCCAAAATAGTCATAAAGCGTCCACTGGAAACTATTTCAGCATACCAGGTATCTGGATACCGGACTGGAAAACATTCAACACAAAGTCGTTTAATAGCTGTTTTGTCAATAGGATAGGCCAGACGAAGTTCAACTGAACTCAGCATAGGTAATATTCCAGCACTTGGTAATTAATAAAGGCGAATTTGGTGAAAGTATAAGGAATCTCAATGGTGCCGGAAAGAGTAACAGAATCACTCAAAAGAAGCATCAAATACCAACCATTCAGAGCTCCAAGTTGACCATTTGGGCCAAACCAAATAACTGCGGTAATTTGGAAAGTTAAAACAAATCCTTGGTCAGAATTGTGTCTGTTTAACTAAAATGCTGTGATGATTATAAAATTTCCGCCCTATTTTATAAATTTTTATTTTATAATAACTTGCATTTACAATAAGGATTTCTGTATGTTTTGATGTAATTTTATATATTGCTTCTATGCTAACTTAAGTTTGAAAATTTGCTATTGTTTTTTAAGACTTTCAAATTTCTACCATTTACTTGTGAAATCTTTGTTCATATTGATTTCTTTTCCAAACCGTTGGCTAAATTTTATATTAGCATGGGGGGGGGGCATTCTTAGAATAAGAAACAGAAATTTATTTGAATTGAAAGATGAAACAAGAATTAGATTGAAGTTAATTCCTATAATTTGTTTAGTTTTATTTTCGACTCAGGAAACAAACTATTTTATTTCCTGAATCCGTCGAAATTGATTATGACATTCAACATTTGTTCAGATAGTTTCGCAATCTAAGGGTTACTAATATTTTTGATAGTAATTTTGCGCTTCCTCCTTTATTTAATTGATATAGCTTTCCTATAAGTTTCCTTTTTTATTTTTCATAGCCCTTCTGCATACTGGCTTTATTGTTCGCCATCTTTGCTCATTATCTTCTGGTTTAATGCAGAAACTTCAGAAAAGTATTTTAACCCACCTCAGCGAATGCCAATAAACATAATTTATGCGATTTCTGACTGCACTGAGAAATCTTTCTGAATATTTTGACGTGCCTTTTCACTTTATCTGGAAATGGAGGGTATTACCACCGAGTGAGCGATCACCCCCTCCTACATATCCCAATGTGTGTAAACGACCTCAGGTTTGCACGATGAAATTTCTTTTCTATCTCTCAGTGGATGACTAGAGACACTACATGGGGAGCCTGCTTTATAGGAGAGCTGACTTGGTTCATTGGTAAATCAACACTAAATTTCAAAAAACAAGTGCCAAATAAAAAGCTATTTTTAAAATATGACATTATAAAAAGGGCATAAGACGCCATAAAAGCCAAAAGAACTATTTAAGTGTTTTGGTGATTATGTACCGAATTTTTCTTGAAGCCACTGTGTATAAATGAGTAATGTACACTGATAAACGAAGAAGACACTTAAGCACATGAAAAATAAGTGCTAATATAGATTCCGTGCACTCAATGGTAATTTTCCCATATTTTCAAATGCGATGAGAAGAGTACCCGAAACACCCATCCCGGATATGGAAAAGGTATCTCCTTATCACCTTCTACATCTCCCACAAAAAGCGATGCAGCCGCCCAACCACATCAATGGATGTGCAGTTGCATATACATCATTTGCAACCCTTGAATTACCAAATACGCATGATACATTAATAAAAAATGTGGGAAAAATCGTTAATCACTACTCCAGTAATAACTCTTGCGCAGACGCTGCGAATCAGATATCCGCGAAAGCAAGAGATCTCCTTTAAACATGATGTTAAATGTATATTGTCAAGAGATTTGACGAGTGAAATACATATATGTAGGAAGATCCTTCACACACACACACACACACACACACATTGTCAGTTAAAATGCACACTCAGGGAGGGAAATTTAAGGTCAAGATAAAGAAAGAAAGATAAGGACCGCCAGATAGATCAAGGATATAATTATCGATCGTTAATTGAAGTAGGGGATCCTGCTGCTTTGACACTGGCAGACACCGACGAAGGAGAGGAGGGTGGGTCAGGTGTGAAGAATTGTTCCGTAGTCGACATCACGTCCACTAGGAAATAAAAATGATTTTGTATGTTTTAAAGGAATCTTCCCGACGTGAACACTCATGACAATGTGGTGATGCATGCAAAGGAACAAAAGAACAATCTAGACAAACAGAATTTCCGGGCTCATCACAATAAAAGGGAACGAAAATATTTCACAGAGTGCTGCACAAAATAATCTCCCCAATTCATTAGGCCTAAAATTCTGGTTTTTATTTGGGAATTGACAAATCAAGATGCAATTTCGTTCCTTGCAATTGAGCTTTGGATAACTATTTCCCAGCAGCAAAGCCACGCCATACTATAGTCCTGACTCTAACAGCATAACGTGAACGCCTCCTAGTCATTTCGAATAGAAGTTTGGAATTCGAAACAAATATATGAAATATGCACAAAATATAAGACCAAATGTATAGCCCAATTTCAATTACACGATGGTTGCATCTCACCCCTTACCCTCTTCTACATTCAATTCATTTTCAGCCGAGTAAGTAAATAGAGAAGACAACCTAGGTTTTCTTTTATTGCCCTACCGCAAAAGCTCTGCCTCTCACCTTGCTAGTATAGAAATCAGAGTGATATGCTCACCTCACAGTTTCTCAACGACAGAAGACAATTACTAAAACAAGCATCTCATCTTTATTGTGAAAATTAAGCCAATCTATTAACCATAGATATTTGCAAGTGGAGATGTGACAATAAGACACAAGACATGACATTTGAGTGCTCAAACAAATGAAACACGATGCATCAGCTGATTCAACCAAGCGTACAAATGAATAAGTTACAGGCCTTAATGGCGAAACTTGAACACCTCATTTTCAGACGATGCACAGATATACTTTCCAATAAAGTGATATTAGAAATAAGATTGAGAAAAATAGGCGATACAAACAAATAGTCGAACATGAACTCCTACAAGGTCAAATGCAAACCCCCCCCCCCCGCCCAACAAGAGCCCAGATTACTAGAACGAGTCACATCTGTATACTTGAGAATTAGTGAATTAAAAATGCGTGTATTTTAAGCAAATGTGCAAATTTCGACCTTGACCACAAGAAACTTAACAAATAAGCTGCAAGGACAATGGCCAGAGGATTTTACATACGCACACACACACACGCGAATGTCGGGTAAACAAATTCGACCTATAAGACAACGGAAATATGGTGACGCAATTAAGCACAGTCCTTCAAACCATCCCTTGATTTATTGAGACTCAGTACAAGCACCAATTAGACTGAAGAGATTGGTTAAAGATTGGTCTCTATTTATAAAATTATGATTACCAAGAACTAAGCTGGTCCTCTTTCAAATACAGAAAGAAATCTGGATGAAAGTTATCGGAAATGCGTCGTAGTTGCAAGCCCACCACCAGAGATACGGCTTTGCTACCAACATGCAAATAGAAATCAAGGAAAGAGGTATGTACATGCTGCTCTAGACACACGTTGCATGCAATTTAAGCAGACTGGGGGGTGATTTTCACATGCCAGCGTTGACGACGAAGACTACAAACCTTGATCCACCAGACTACAAAAACTCGAGGAACCAATCGATGCACTTTCTGAATGTCTAGTGGCAGCACCGGGGAGAAAAGAGGAAAGAGTGAGCACCGCTGGAGCTGAACAGGTGCCGCCTGCAACAGCACCTTGTGTTGTTGCTGCCCGACGTCTGGAGCTTGACTGCACGTCTGTGGGGGCCGATTTCGCATCAGAAGTCGCCGCCGCCTTAGAGACATGGGTGCTTTCCTCTTTTTTCTTCTTCTGCTGATCTTTAGTTGGAGTTGTCGCTGTCCCAAATTCAACATGATTTGATGGTAGCACAGTAGTGGTGGGGGACTGGGAATCACTTCTCCTCTTGGGACTGTCTACTGAAGCTATTCACACCAAATTGTACAAATGGAGAAAGCTCTTCAGAATCACAAATTTAGTGACTAATTTTTGAAATGAAATAGGCGATTTTTATTCTGGGAGACTCGCATGTAGTTCATTAGATAGAAATCATTGCCAAAAATTGCCCAAGACAGGATGACCCTGCATTTCCATGCCCAATATTACGGAGAAGGCACGAGTGTAATACCAAAAGCTCATGCGCAATGTCGTAGTGTGTTTCGAGATTAAAGCACAATGAATCCACCGCCAAATTTAAAGTTCATTGATAAGCAAATTATTTCAATCGATTGATCATAACACCCCAATTAATTTGTCCTTTCATGAGCTATTAATAATATATAGGTGATGTAGTGAAGGTTTTAACTTAATGGAGTAAAAATCGATACCTTAATAACATATACCTATTGGTTAGGTATGCGAATTCCTACAAAGATTCATAGCTGGCATTTAACTTACGAATTTGACTCCAATTGAATGATTCTCAATACCTATCTGTTTTATTTTTAAATAATAAAAATGCTTAAACCACGCCAAAAACGTTAAGCAAATTAAATGAAGCCAGCAACGACGAAACGACAAGAGCCAAAAATAGAAATTAAACAAAAACATTAATAAGCGCCCTCGACGACGTTATTGAATAATAACTATAAGGTTTAATTATGGAGAGGATAGAACTTACCGATGCGGTTATACACTAATAATTTTTTCGCCACTTTGCTTACCTTAACGAATCCCACATTTATGTTAATTTTACACTGAATACCACTGTAGGAAATGATGAAGATATTCAGGTACAACAGTCCACTATAGTCGTATTTCCTCGATATTTTTGAAAGCACACGTATAATTTTTAAGATATCGAAACATCTTCCCAATAAAAAGAAAACATCTACTCTTTCAAATGCAAAGCGAAGAACTTTCAGATTACTATTCCAAATATCTATCAATTTATCACCAATTATAGCAACGAATAAAGATTTCAGAACTAATGAGCACATGATTAACTCCCAGCAAACAATAACATACACACATGCGCCGACATTCAATCGGGTTTATTCATACATACATAAATCAAGATTACAAAAATAGCAATTAAGTCTTCCATCTTCTTCATTTAAAACCTCCTCTTCCCACCACCACGACAAAAATTTTCGAACTCACAGGCACTTTTGCGTCCGCCATTTCC